GATTGGTGGGTAGAATCAGCCCACATGGGCTTAAGACAAGGATGTGTGGAATCAACCGGGCCAGGCTGGGGCCGACTGGGGCTACCTGGCCCGGGCCGACCCGGTACAGATGGGAATGGCCCATATAACCTGAGAAAATCTGGTATCCGGGAGGGGCTCAGAATAGAGCCGCTGCTCCTCCAGCTGCTGCTCCTGCACATGAGAGGTGGTTCTATTTGAATTTCCTCATTTGTGACATCACAAATGGAGACGGCTTGTTTTGGAGACATACCATATTTTCCGGACTATAAGTCGCACCAGCCATAAAATGTATAATAAAGAAGAAAAAACATACATAAGTCACACTGGACTGTAAGTCGCATTCTGGGGAGAAATTTTATCATTTTTCTTACAAAATCTGAGACCAAGCATTTCACATTGCAAGACAAGTACCGGTAACAACAACAGAATAAACAACACAGGCGCAGCGGCGCGTCACGGTCTCCAGCAGAGGATGGCGGTGTTTCAAACCCTCCCAGCGGGACAGGGGACCTCATTCCTGGTCCGGAGTCAGCCCGCAGCAGTGCGGTATAGCCTACAGTCGCTCCGGAGTATAAGTCGCAGGACCGGCCAGACTATGAAAAACGTGTGACTTATAGTCTGGAAAATACGGTACTTCCTAAAACCAAACAGCAACAAAAATGTATAGGTGTGTTTTTTATGTTTATAGAAGCAGAGATCCACATGGTAGCACAAAAGAATGCAAAGTGTGAGTTAGCATTTTTGTTTCTTGAGCAAAACCAATGAATAAAGGTGATGATGGAAATTCTTTAATAACGTTCAGGAACGATGCAAACATGATGGATGCATCTGCTCGGAGGGTGAAACTAGAAGTTATTTTACCTGTATTAGTACTGTTTAGTGATTTTAATCCATGTAAGTCGCTTTGGACAAAAGTGTCTGCTAAATACATAAACATAAACGTGTGTGCACTGTGTAGCACTTAGCACGTTGTGGTGCACATGACAGTTGTTTTAACATACTGTGGGAACTGGATTCAGGTGGGGATTGTTTTACTTCAGTCTCAGCAGATCCACAGAGGAGGTCTGACGGAGTCATTCATGATTAAGCAACTGGCATCTTTTAAGCCTGCAGTGTGCGCACTAGCACAAGTAAGAGGACTGTGTTGATTTTCTTCTCCTCAAGTTTTCTCAGGTCCTCTTCAGTCCTGTCACTTTCCCTTGTTAATTGACAACATCAGAAAGCTCCAGGCATTTGAGACCCTGCCTGCTAACGCCTTCTCTTTCAGCTTGATGAACTGAGAGATGTTGACAAGACCTCACCATAATTTGGGGTAGATCATAACTCTTCATTATCTTGGCTGTTGGACACCCCAAAGTGGATCGCTTTCAGGCGACGAGCTCCAGCAGAGCTGTGCGGTATTGAGACATCTCCAAACATTAATTTGTGCTAAAGTGTTTGAAACTGGATTTGAAATCTGAAGAACGTGTCACTGTTTTATTTATTTATATGTTTAAAATAATGCCTGGAGGGCTTCTGCTGTTCTGAAAGGAAGTGCTGTAATGTGAGGTGTCGCTTAAAAAAACATTTTACGTGAGTTTTTTACTCTTTTAGAAAAGATGCAGCTCGGCTTGTAATATATGAAACTTGCTCTGATGGTATTCTGAATTTTATTAAACTGCCTGGGACATTTAACTCAGCACAATCGTTCTGCATGTGCAGCAATAATTTTAAAACTTCTAAATATACTCAGTGGATTGATGCTGCCACTGGATGTTGCTGTTGCTGTAAACTGCTCAATCATAAAATAATCACACATTTGTTTTGGTGTTTCAGGAGGCGTACAGGGCCGAGAACGCATCTATAACACACGGGTCAGAGAAGCCTGTTAATGTGACCTGTTTTAGGGGATTCTATGACCAATGAGATCAAATATAAATAAGTTTTCAAAGTACCTGAAAAACAGGGATGAGAGGTTTGCTGAAATTTCAGTCAGTGGGTGATTTATTTGGCTTATTTTACCAGAAAAATAAAGCAATTAAACATCTGACAAGAAGCTAATGAGAGAACTACTGTTGAGATCTACTGTTTTGGGATACATTTTATTAGAGTTAGAAGAAATTCCTCAAGATTTTCCCAAAAAGTGACAAATTTACTAACTAACTAACTAACTAACTAACTAACTAACTAACTAACTAATTAAACAAAGCGCTGCACAGCAGAAATAAGCATAAAAAATATATATAAATAAATAAAATAAAAAATAAAAGCATATAAAACCATTTAAAACCAGCAAAAACATACAGATAAAATCCAGGTGGGGCAGCAAAAAGTGCAAAGCCAACAGTTAACGGGACTCTTCCTGAATAGAAGCTAAAGAGTAAAAGTGAGTTCTCAGCTGGCTCTTAAACTTGCCGAAATTTACATCAAGTCTAACATTTATGTTCATGTATTTAGAAGATACTTTAGAAAAAGTTTGAATGTTTTGTTCATTTGTCATTTTAGTTAACATTACATAAAATAAATCACAGTTGCAGTAGATGCTAATTTATTTGGAAGCTGAACATTTTGATGGATTTTAAAATATTCAAGTGGCAGTGTGTAGTTTCCTGGCACTAGGGGGGCAATACACACATTTGAGGGTAGTTTTATACCATATCACCGGGAATGTCGGTAGTTAAAAAAAAGAAAAACATTCCTGTAAATGTTGTTACCTGTGCAGCAGAAAGCACGCGACCTCGGCATGACTCCTCAGACTTTGATGGTCCTTTCCATCGAGAGAATGCGATGCTGATTGTAGTTTTAGGATCTGCTCAGGGTCCTGCCCTGCTACGGCAATACCGCTCGGCCAAAATATTTAGCGTCTCTTCTTTTCTTTCTCATATTTTTTGGAAAGAGTTCAGCAGTTTTGTTGTGTTTCTTACTGGCTAAATGTTTTTTAACATGGTAACGTAACTTCCTTAAGTCGTACGTCCAGCCAATCAGCTTGTGTGACGTCACTGACAGGCGCAGAACACCGAGCTGGCCAGAAGGAAACATGGCGTCTAAAATGGCATTCCCCAAAGTTGCTAAACCCACTCCCTATGTCGGGGGTCGGCAACCCGCGGCTCTGGAGCCGGATGCTGCTCTTCCATCCATCTGATGCGGCTCTCTGTGCTTGTAAAATAATGAATGGATATTTTTTTTAAAAAAGCTTTGTATTTTACTGCATTAATTTTACATCTGTATGCCAATTCTATGTAAAGATTGTCTGCGTAAACCTGAACAGGTCCAACCCGGTCTGACTGTGAGTCTGGGTTGACGCGTCACGCTTGTGCGTAATCATATCGGCGCTGTCTGAACTGAAGAGGATGTGAGATTCTGGGCTTCTCCTCAGACGGCTCCTGGATGTGTCGCCACATTGGAGACAGGAACAAGCGCTATTCAGCCAAAGTTTCATCATCAGGGAACATTTTCTAAGTGACAAGTCTCGCTTCAGTCGGAGGAATCTTCCTGCATGCGCTCTGGTTCTGCGACGCGCTCCAAGCCCCTCTCCACATCTTCAGCTCGCTGTGGACCATATGTAGTACAGGCTGACAGTGAGCTGCGCTGAGCAGTGTCCAGCTCAGATGTTCAGATGGGAATCTTTTCTTGAGTGATTTAGCTACATCTGCGATGTGCGTAGAATAAAGTGTCAGTTCGTCTGCATGCGTCGGGGTAATTCTTTCTGTTCTTTCTCCGTCAAAATAAACGGCCAAATACGGGAACTGTCCGGTCAACACAAGCCCTGCTTTTAACTGTTTTGTTTTCTTGTGAAAATTGTTGCAAAGACATATAATACAACTTAATTAACACCAGAGCCAGGAGCACTGCGCCGTTGTCTCCGTCACTGTAAATGAGGGAAAAACAAAATGATCGGATCCTTTTCTGACCTTCCCCACCTACAAAGTTTAATTACAACAATCAAACGTGACAGAGCCTGGATTTGTATACTGAACAGTCTTCCCGAAGTGCAGGAACCCCAGGGAGACAGCCGCCGGAGAAGCCCTAACCCCCCTCCCTAGAGGGGCGGAGGATTACCCCAGAGCTGCAACCAGCAGCCGCCAGAGTCCTGGGAGATAACAACGGCAAGCCCCCAGGCCCGCCTGCAGCCACCTATCCCCCAAGCTCGCCAAGCTTGGAACAAGTTTTTCAACAGCTCGACTTAATTTTATTCATTTGGAACATTTCTTTAGATATTTCCAGAGATTAAAGGTAGAAACTACACGTTGTCTCTTTAACTCATTCGCTGCCACCTGTTTCCTGATCAGTAAAGCCCTTCGCTGCCAGCGTTTCTCACAGTTTTCACTGCTTTTTAAGAGTCACAGAACGTTGCGCGCTAGGATGACGTTGACACCAAAACAACCAAAACAAAGCGGAGACTCACCTCTTACATCAGGATGAATCCGCGCATTTCGAACGTTATCCGTTCTTTCATAATCCGTTGTTGAATTGTGATCGGCAGAAGCTTTTCCTGTTCGCGCCTCACTTTTTTTTACAGCGGCGGCCCAAAACGATCTCCTAACACATGGATGTTCTGCTTCCTGGTCACGTGACATGTGACATATGCGGATGAAGATCGGCTTTAGAGCAGAGATGTTTGTTCTCTCGGTGTGGGGGCTTGTCCGACGCCCACACAGTAAAAAATGTGGCAGTGAACGGTTGGATTTGAAATGACGACTTTTGTCGTCAATGGCAGTGAATGAGTTAAGGTCAATTTTGCAAATACAATCACATAGTGATGTCTGAAGTGGCAAACGAGGAGAATAGATACAATAATGGAAAAGCAAAATTTCCAGTCAATTTATAATTTTGTTTCACTTTAAGAAATAGAATAATAACCCATTTTATTGTAGTTTTAAATTATAACTGGGGAGAAACACATTTTAATGTCTAAATGAAGATACTCAACCGTTATAATTTAGGATGCTTATAGTCTTTATCCTCTGTTTCGTTAAAATAGGAAACAAAATAGAGACAAATTATGAAATAAGAACTTTTATTCATAATATATTCATACTTGTACACAAGTAAAATAAAATGCATATCTATGATTCCATTGCAATCTCCATGAACAAAATGACAGCATTTTTATTTATTTGTTTTTTGGGTAAATGCTGCCCATAGATCCTCTGTCATGAAAATAGAACTAAAAAGCAGGGAGGTAAAACATTTCTTATATAAACATGAAAAAAGAAACAGTATCCAACAAATGCATGGCTGAATAAATAACAAGGGGAGATTTGTTTTCTTCATGAAACAGACCAATCATTCTTTGTGTGCTTTCTGTCTTTTTCTGTCTCTCATTTCCCGTATTTATTTTCTTATTTTTTTGTTTTTGTCCGTTTTAGGTATTTATGTTTGTTTTTCTTCCAGTGGTCTGTCTAAGCAGTAAAAGCTTCACACGGGAAAAAGGAGGAGTCTCCTAAGTGTAGCTTAGACACAGTACAGTTGAGTACATCGAGAACAAACAATTTTGGGCACCGATTCTTTATTTACATCAGATCTGTAGAGTTCTGTAAAAGGCATCCATTTTGTTTATTGTACTCTCACGTTTTCATCGTTTGTCTCCAGCAATGTTGGGTCAACGACGTGACTCCTCGCTTCTCAGTCACAGCCTGTTGTAGGTGTCCCTGGATCTTCAGTCTCATTGTCATTAGCATCAACATTCTTGAGTCCTTTGTGCAGACAGCTGTCAGGAGTCCTAGGATATGGATAGAGATATCCAGGTCATGGGAATGATGAGAAAGTGCAGCATTTGCAAAGTAGAGCCGTGGCCTTTGATGCATTGAGTGTCTGATTTGGGCTTTTTGGAACACTTCTTTTTCTTTTTAATTGAGGCTGTAGATGATTCTGGATTATCTATAAAGTCTGGCTTTAGGTTTTCCAAAGTCTTGTCCAGGTTATTGGACAAGGTTCCCAGTGGTCCGTCATTCTGCTTGATCTGGGTCTCGTTTTTTGTTCTTTCCTGCTGTTTGAATTTAGTCTTGGACATGTTCTCTTTTTCTTTCAGAGGGTTGTTAGTGATTTGGCGACTTTTCCCAGAAAGGATAGAGGACTTGTCGTTATCTCCAAGACAACACCAAGGAATGTTGTTTCCCAGGGGGATTTCCGTAGACAGGAACTTCCCAGACTGTGATTTGGAGCTGAAGAGACTGGTCTGGAGTTGAGGTGTTTCCACACATCCTTCCAAGTCCTCACTCTTCAATCGTTTCAGGTCCTTTCCAGCCAAGAACTCAGGGACGCTGCACTCCAACTCAGAGCTGGAACCTTTGAAACGTTTGAACCATTCCCATAAGGTTCTCGCACGGCAATCACAGATCCACTGATTCCCATTCAAACGCAAATACTGGAGGGAGATTAGTGGGTTCATCGTCTCCCCAGTCAAAACTGTAAGGTTGTTGAAGAACAGGAACAAGGATTTGAGTCCACCAAGACTAGTAAAAGCTTTAGGTTCGACATAGATGATTCGATTCTGGTGCAGCAGCAGTCGGTCCAGATTGATTAAGCCTCGAAACATGTTGTCTGTTACTATCTTGATCTTGTTATTGTGCAGGTAGAGATAGGTGAGGTTCGCCAGGTCCAGAAACGTGCCATTATGTAGCGTTAGAATGTTATTGTCCTGCAAGTAAAGGTATTGCAGAGAAAACATTCCTCGGAATACCCCAACAGGCAGCTGCGATAGGCCACACCTGTGCAGGTGAAGGGTATGTAGCTTAGTTAGGCCCCGGAAGGCTGTTGGACTAATGGTTCGGAGGTTGCTGTTGTCTCCAATGTCCAGTTCCTCCAGTTTTCCCAAGCCATCAAAGGCTCCAGCTTCAATGTGGCTTATGTTGTTAGAGTAGAGCCAGAGAACCGTAAGATTGTGGCAAGAGCTGAAACTAGTGGACCCGACCACCGTCAGCTTGTTACTCTGGAGAAATATCCGTTGGCTCCGAACAGGGATCTCCGTAGGGATGGAAAACAGTCCTTGTTGTTGGCATGCCACGGTGCGCCTGGGCTCACTGAAGCAAATGCACTTGGCAGGACAGCTGTCAGCTTGAGGCAGCAGGTTCAACCACATCACCAGGAATAGGAGTCGCCCCCCTACAGAGACACAAAAAGGACATCAGAAATGAGTAAGTAATGCGTTTGTAAGCCCAAATCACACAACTGTTAGTTTAGATGTTTTCAGAAGTCAGGAAATCAATTGTTCTATTAAAAACAGAGACTCAGAAAGCTGCTCAACCACCACTAGCAGACATGTTCAACCATGTTTCAATGCATCAGATGCAGGGAAATGCTTTGTTTGGCTTTGCTCATGGTAATCACCCTGCCTGGTCATATGGGACACTATTTAGCAAATGCCACAAACGTTGGATCTACACATAGAGCACAGCTAAGTTGGGTCTGATGTCACTCCCAAAGCCAGGTTCTGACATCTGAATGAAATGGAAAGCAGCGTAAGCATGAAGAAGGCAGCCTTTCACCAGATGAGCACTGGACCATCTCAAATGAGTGTCACGTCATTGAAAAGCGAAGCAACTCCGTGCCATTCTGTTACAGGAAGTGTGAGATTTAGCACGTTACAACCGAAGAGCTAATCCACTTTGTGATCATAATTTAAAGCACATTTTAGGTGTGATGTTATTTGGATCCAACGCTGCAGGGGTCTGCTCAGCTGTTAATTCGTTTTAAATGGGTGGATGGTTTTCTAATGGAATTAGCTTGATTTAATAAAGTAGACAAAACTAATGGTGTCCCGTGTTCTTCAGGTTGATATTGAACCTGCTGGTGGGAGTCGAAGGCCAAGAAACTGGATTTATCAAGTCAGGGTCTACAGCAGTTGCAGTTTTCCACGTATTTGATGCATTTCTCATTATTAGAATTCCCTTTTTCTAAAAATCTTTAACATTACGCTGGGTACATTTCCACAGGGTTTGACAATTAAACTCACTAACATTAATACCGGTCTTTTACACATAAGAAGAGGCTGAAATTAGCCTTGCATACTAAAATAATAATTAAATGTTTCAGTAATAAGCCCTTTTGCTCCACAGGCAAAGTAAAAGATGCCCTCGATGGATCTGACCTTAAAAATATATTCCTGTTGAGTTTAGCCTTGTGCCACCATTTCCCAAGTGAGCATTTTATTTATTTTATAATAAATAAAAAAATAATAATAATAATACATTAAACTTGTATTGCACTTTTTAGGTCGCTCAAAGATGCTTCACAAAAAATGCAATAAACACATAGTAAAACAACATGAAACATAGTAAACAGACCGGGGGATGCTGGGTTGATCTTAAGAGAAGGTCAATTTAAAGAAGTGGGTTTTAAGCTGTGACTTAAAAGTAGAAAGAGATACGGCGTTCCTGAGGTTTAGTGGGAGAGAGTTCCAAAGTGTGGGGGCAGCGGCTGCATAGGCTCCATCCCCCATGGTGCCATGTTTTGTTTTAAAAGGGGAAAGGAGGTTGGAGTCGGCAGAACGGAGGTGCCGGGAAGGAGAATGGCGATGGAGAAGTTCCATCAGATATGATGGTACAAGGTTATTGAGGCATTTGTAAGTGATGAGGAGCAATAATGGATCTGGTATGTGTCATGGTCTGCGTTCTGCGTCTCCCTCATGTGTCTCCTTGTGTTCCCCAACCCCTCCAGGTGTCCCTCTAGGATCCCCCTCATGTGTACCCAAGCTTCCTGTGCCCCTTTTTGTCCCCAGCTCCCTCCCAGTCTCCCTCAGGTCTCCCCTAGTCACCCCTCTGTAGTTGTTCCATAGGTTCAGCTTTTCATTGTATTAGTCTCCTTTAGTGTGTGTTTCCTTCCCCACTTGTTAATTAGTCTCCCTCACTCCTCAGGTCATTAGTTATTTATTCTTTGGTTCTCCTGTGCCCTTAGTCTTTTAGGTTTATTTATTTAGAGATTCACAGGTTATGGTTTATTCCCTCCTCTGCTTGCTTTCCCCTTCCCATTTAGTTCATTGATCTCACCAGTCTCCCCTCAGTTCTCTCTTCCCACGCACCTGCTCCTCGCCTCCCAGTCACCCAGTCCCTGTGTATATGACCCTGTCTGCCTTACAGTGTTTTGTCGGTCCATTGATGTTTGTCAGCATGCTTTGTCCCCCCCCCACCCCCCCCCCCCACCCCACACCCCCCCCCCCCACCCCCCCCCACCCACCCCTAGGTCTCTGCTCATGAGTGAGCTTTAGGTTTTTGTCTTTCAGTTTAGATATCAGGTTTGGCTTCCTGCCTTTTGGATGTTTTGTTCCCCATCCAAATAAAAGGGATTTTACTTTTACAAATCGCTCCTGCCTCGTGTCGTCTGGTGTTCTGCATCTCGGGTCCTAACCTCCTCCTACTCACATTGTGACAGAATGGAAATGGGAGCCAGTGAAGTTGTTCCAGTACTGGAGTTATGTGATCCCTGGAGCGAGTGTGGGTGAGTAAACGTGCTGCTATGAAGGCAAAGATGGGTGTCTGGGCAGTGGAGTCCGTGAGGGATGGACGGAGACGGGCAATGTTGTGGAGGTGGAAGAACGATACCCTGTGGGTGTTGTTGATGTGGGACTTGAAGGAAAGGGAGGAGTCAAAGATGACGCCAAGATTACAGACTGTAGAGGAGGGAGTCACTGTGAGACCGTCAATTTGTAGAGAAATATTTTGAACTGAGGGTAGGAGAGATTTGTGACAAGTTATAATGAGGTCTGTTTTGGATGAAGCAGTCGTGGTGATGAAGATAAATCTCATCCTATTTTAAATAACTGGATACTTAAAGCCACTTGTGACAAGCTCATACAGAAAGAGTGGGAGACGACAAGCCCAGAAAAATATTATATTTTGGTTGGAATTCCATGTAGGTCACAATAAAAAAGCTTTATGCATAAAAAATCTCGTCAGTTAAAGAGGACACAGAAGACATAACCCATACACGTTTATGTGCTAAAGAGGAGCCCCAGCTTGGGTTTCTGGTTGGGAAACATGTGAGAGCAATATTTGACATAACTGTAATTGGCAACATTACATACGTGTTAGTTTGTGTCATGGCTCCAACTTAATGTTCAGAAGCAGCTTTTTGAGCCAAAACATAAACGATGAAAAACTGAAAAGTTCTGAATCCAACAGTTTCCATTGGTTGGCTAAGACCATGCTTTTAATTTCCAAGAGCAGCATGAAGCGAAGCGCTACAAGATGCAGAGTGGCACCCAGAGGAAGGCTTGTAAAGATTCTTGTGTTTACCCTGAAGGCATCCATGTTTGGAAAAAAATTTAAACACCACATTTGCTCACATTAATTATATCTGCTTGTCCTCTGTCATGGTTCAAACGAGCTTCCCAAACGCGAACTGAAATGAGCTGAATAACCATACAGGAAGGATCCCTGCTGGCATTATACACCGCTGAGTGAAAAACGAAGGTTATCTCTTACTGCTGCATGCTTCATGCAGAGATAAAGGTGTCAGCGTGTCATAAGCATGCCTGGCCTCATCACATAATGGCAGCTACCCTCCAAATCTCCGAATCCTCTTCAGCTCCTATCCTTACTGAAGATTTCCAATTTCTACTCCCATAGACATGTAAGGAACCCAGGGTTGCAGGCATGACAGGTAGTGAGTGTGCGGAAAAATTCATGAGCTTTACTCATCCCTCCCCACATCCCTACACGCCCTCCCCTCATTCCCCTGCAATGTGTTGTGGTGCAGCTCATCTCTGGACCTTGTTAAACGGAGCTCTGGTGTGGCCTGACAGCAGCCCTCTGCTGCACTTTCCTTCCAACCTCCCCGCTCAGCCGTCAGACTGCCACCGGAAAGCTGTCAAGACTTTCCTCTCTTTCTGCATCGCAGCATTTTTCCCTCAGCACTGCCTAACAATAGCATTATTTTACCTCACAGCACGCTTCGTGTATCTTCTCTGCCGCCTACAGCCCCCCCCCCCCCCCTTACATTCTGCTGTCTGTTCATTAACGGCTATTTCCACCCACACACTACACGTCGCAGCACAGTTTCCTCTGCTCTCAGCATAATATGTCATGTCTTTGTTAGCATCTGTTGAATTCCATTTTCAAATGTCATCAACCTTCTGCCAGTATTTCGTTCTACCTCTGAAGTGCATCTTTAAATTTGCGTCACACTGATGATGCTACCAGGCGACGCAAGAGTAGATCTGTCAGACATGACATCTTGACTTTGTAAATTTCGTTTTACAGAATCACATCCCTTTCATCTCTCACAAGACTCAAAATTTACTATGTTGCCTCTTCATTCAAATCAACACTTATTATTGATTTTATATTACCTAAATACACAAGGAATTGTCTAAAGCAGACAAATAATATTTATTTTACGGTTTCCAATCATTTCCTTGAGTCCAAACACTGTTCGAAGCTGTGCATTCCCTCTTTTATCCTCTGTCAGGCTTTTTTTTCCTTAAAAATCATTATGTACCATCCGCAATCTCATTGTGTTCAGAAGCAGGCAGGTATTCATTTATTTAAGTTTACGTCCATAACCTTTCCTCCACCACAGCAGTATTAGAATAATCTGTACATCCCATTGCCTGGCTAATTCAGTTAGACAAAAAAGTGTGCTGAACGTTATTTAAATAATTAAGGATGTTTTAGTAATTGGTCCTGGTGAAAGAAAAAGACAAAATAGTTTAAAACTGTTTTCGCATTAGAAAGTTATGGTACTTTATATGTTAAGACTCTATAAAAACATCAGATTATCATAAAATCAGATTATGACATTTGATTTCTCAAAGCTCTGTTCATCTTGGTTTGGGGTTAGGGTTAGCATTCTTATTAATATGAAATAAACAGAACCAGTTGAAGCACACAGACAACATCTTTGTGGGGCAGCAGTAGCTCAACAGGTTGAGCGGGTTGTCCAGTAATCAGAAGGTTGCAGGTTCGATCCCGGCTCCGGACAGAGAATTCTGCTGTTGTGTCCTTGGGCAAGACACTTAACGCACCTTGCCTGCTGGTGGTGGTCGGAGGGACCGGTGGCACCAGTGCTCGGCAGCCTCGCCTCTGTCAGTGCGCCCCAGGCCAGCTGTGGCTACACCGTAGCTCATCCCCACCAATGTGTGAATGTGTGTGTGTGAATGGATGAAT